TTGCAAAGACAGTTCAAGATGTATGATTTTTGTAAATTAATATGCTGACATACACCTGGTTCATATTTTTATATCATAAACATCTGAGGTCGTCCAAATGCAAAACTTGTAAGGTTAAAACTTCGTTCCAAGAGCGAATAGTGGTACTATCGCCTTGTTCTCCTGATGTTGACACCTAATCCACATGGTCATGCGCTCATCCCCAATCAAATCTGGAACAAGTTCGAAGGTAAGAAAGCAAAATTTATCACTTAGCCATGTGCACAGTCCCACTATATTTCTAGTTCGACACGCATCTACATACGATAACAGAAACCTACGCAAAAAATAAGATCTTTGCAGATAAGCATTATTAGTATTTTTTAAAATAGCATCATAGTTATATACAATGTTTTATGTTAGTCTCTTAAAATACAAAAAAAAATAATGCCTATGTGCAAACATTTTAAAACTCTCGGGGTCAGTTATGTTAACTGTGGTAAAAGTTGTAACAAGATGGTGTGGAAGGACAATGTCTCCACCAGCATTCTTAGTCCAGCAATGTGTACGTCAGAGGTGGGATGATGAAGTTCATGATCCTCACTCCTTATGGTATTACAGTTATTGTTATGATCGACCACAGCGTCATTGCCTGGATCGAGCAAACAATAAAATAAAATGACATTAATGTATGGAGATCTGAGCAGAGATATAGAAGCTCACGTATGTAAAATATAATAATTGAATCAATTACGTAAGCAAAATGAAAATCACCATGGCATTTGGATGATTCACTTTCTCTTTGAAATAGATTTACAAAATTTATGCGAAATTCAATTAGCTGTTCTGTTACACCGATAAAACAAATTTCATACTTAATTAAATAACTGATCAAATTCAAATTGCCACCAAGTCAGCATCACTTTGTTGTTTCCGTTCTTTTCCAAATTACTGTTACTGATAGCTCTCTCTCTCTCTCTCTCTCTCTCTCTCTCTCTCTCTCTCTCTCTCTCTCTCTCTCTCTCTCTCTCTCTCTCTCTCTCTCTCTCTCTCTCTCTCTCATCTTCTGGTCGTCATTTGTCTTAGTCGTAGATTTCGCTCTTTTCCACTGTACAGTACAGGTATGGAGCTAATTTTCCTTGTGCTTTATTAAGATTACCTATTAATATGCAACTGACTCTTTCTCTTTTCGTGTCTTGATCTTTCCGACACGTGCCATTTGGATATAATTGTTATTTCCCATAGCTAACTTTCTGGCTCCTCTCAAAACATAGACTGCTAGATTTCGCGAGCGATTACGTAAACCCTGAATTTCGTCAGGGGAAAAAAACAACCTTCCTTTAACTTAGCCAATCAGGATTATTTTCTCTAACCACCAAAATTTTGTAACACTCCCATCGAAGTCGAAATAATTCTCTCTAGATCGCCTTTATTAATAACTATTCTTGAAAATATAATTTCAGTTTCAAATGGCTCAAGAGTTCCTAACAGTTTTGGCTCTGGTTTCTTTGTTGTTTCCCACTACATGAGCAGACGTTAACACATCGGTCTCGGCGATATCGAACATACTCGGATTAAAATACACTTATGCCTCCAAGCAAGACAGGTCAGCTATTACAAGCTGCGAACCTAGACCACGTCAGTCTTAATATTTACCTGTCGCACTGACCGCGACTGAATGTTCTGCAAAATTATCTTCAAAATTCTGCACTATTTCAGTATATATTTCTTTAGTTAGCGACTGACCGTTTAATTTTCTCTGGGGAGAAGGTCCACTAAATCATTACTCTTTTATACTAAGTACTGTTGCCTTTTCAAATAAAGTTCTGACAGTTTGCTACTACAAAAGATATATGTGCAATGTTTCATCTTGTCCTTCCATACTGTTCCTGTCACAAACTTTGCCATTGTTATCAGAACTAAATCTTTAAAACTTATTTACCCTAGTTGTCTGTATTACTGTATCTCATTTGCCATAGTTTTTTTTATGTCTTACGCCTTTTGATATACTGGATGGAAGACCATTGAAGATACGGATCTTCTCACCCATCTGTATTATTTAAAGATCTAACCGTAACAATGTAATTATAAGACACGGACCCAAATCTCTCATGCATAGCGTAGTATTATGTCGATACAGCCTTGGAAGGGGCCTTTCACATTATGCACGAGAGGAAGAAAGAATACAGACGACGACACGGTGGGTTGTCAAATTAAAACGGGCTCTTTTCCTTTTAATATCAAGTTTCAAAGATTTTAGAATGATATTTTTGACGTCTTTGTTACATAGTGTGTCTTATCTCTTTTAAAAAGAAAACAAAAATTGCATTTAAATATCTGGCACTGACATGTATCCTGAAATAAAGTCATATCTGACAAAAGATTCAAAGATGGTAACAGACCTGTACATAATGCATACAATGCCTCCTTCCATCCCTCTTTTCTTCTCGACTAAAAGCGGAGTCTAATCTGTGTCAGCGCGTGGTGGAAAAGACAATGTGCTTTCGACTCTTAATGAGTCTTTTTTAATGGCATATACAACACCTACACAAGACAAAAAATAAAACAGAAAAACCGTAATGTTTGCAAAACAACTATTTTCCAGTATCCGCAACAAGTTGGAAAAAAAATATTTGAAACATAATAGATTATAATATTTAATTCCTGTAGAAACAGCTATGTAAAGTTTCGCATACACTATTGTTTTTCTGTTTGTTTTATGCATTGTTTAATCGAAGTATAAATTTATTTGTCTGCTTGATTTATCTATGTCTCTATATCCATAAAAGCTTGGAGTCAGCTAAACGTATTGCTTTAAAAAAAATACATCCGTAAATTCACGGGTTATTTTTTATATGTGTTACTTTAGACTTTATTATTTTCAACATGGTAATAAATGAAGAGTAGCAGAAAATCCATTAAATGAAAAGTCCAATCCAAACTTTCAGGATATTATAGTTTATTTGTAATAACCGTATACCATCTGCTTTCAAAGACTACAACGATATTTTAAAAGGTCCGTATGTTTTTGTTATGAGCTATGCAGGGGCCTCGAGTGGTTTGAAGGGGTCATCGTTACGAATCACCGCCATCTCACCTCTGTCTGCGTCAGTTCGTGTTTCGAGTTCTGCCACTGTGGTTACGTGAGAAAGCTTGCCAGTAGCTGCTTCTCGTGTGTTGGTTGTTCTTTAAGGGCAATGATGATAGCAATTATAGTCGTATATGCATGTACGTTTGCTTGACGACTTTTGGAGCCTCTTATTTTCATAAGAGACCAGAGAACCCACCCGAAAGGTGGGCCTCCAATACCCTTCCTCGTGGTTAGCCATCGGCCCGGCTCCACTTGGAGGGACTTGACCTAGGACTGGGTCTTATCGTATCGTACTAGACCTTAGGACTTTGACGTTCAACACCCAGGTACAAGCAGAAAGCCTCCCAACCCAGCAACAGGACAAAAGCGCCAATAAGGCCGCCAACAAAGCCACACCCATTTGCGTTGTTGAAGTGAGAAGGTTAGTAAAATTGCAATTGATCCACTTCTGTTGTAATCTTCTTTAAAGTTCTCAGTTAATTGCAATTTTTAATTATAGTTGTTACCTTCTTTATAGTCTGCTATTCCGGTTCAAAGAGTACGAGTCAGGTGCATTGCAATTTATCCACTTCTGTTGAAATCTTCTTTATAGTTCTCGGTTGATTGCAATGATACTGCAGCATGTAATATCTTCATTATAGTCGGCTTGCTTCCTGCTGTTAGAATGTGTCAAGTACCTTTTTTGCAATTTATTCACTTCTGTTGTATTCTTCTTGATATCTCTCAGTTGACTACAATTTGTCTTGTTTATATATTCGTTAGTCTGGAACGCCAATTGTTGTTTGTTGTAAGTCGGGTGCATTGCAATTTATCCACTTCTGTTGAAATCTTCTTTATAGTTCTCGGTTGATTGCAATGATACTGCAGCATGTAATATCTTCATTATAGTCGGCTTGCTTCCTGCTGTTAGAATGTGCCAAGTATCTTTTTTGCAATTTATCCACTTCTGTTGTAATCTTCTTTATATCTCTCAGTTGATTGCAATTTTTCTTGTTGTTATCTTCGTTATAGTCTGGAACGCCAATTGTTGTTTGTTGTAAGTAGTGTAGTACCCCAGAGCCTCTGTAGGGGGTTATTAGGGCTTTGGGGTTGAGTTGGCTCCGGGGGTTTCTATTTCCTGACATCACAGCACGCCCCAGGGCCGCCCAAACACACCAGCAGCAAGCAAAAGTCCTTAATGATTAGTAACACCATATTTAGTAATAGGTAGAGCCAAACATGAGGATATCTCATACGGGTCAAATGACCAAGGTTGTCAATATTCCTATTTATTAAAAGGTTGGTGATTTGTATACTAAGCGTAAAAGTGTCTAAAAGTTTGTCAAATTGGTGGGACGGAGTGTCCCTTAATTTTTTTTTGTTTTCGAGGTTGAGAGATGGAGAGTGAGTTAAGAAATACCAATCAGGTTTCAGGGGGCCAAGTAGAGTTATAAACCAAAAGAGGGCTTAGATGGGTTGAAAGTTGAGCCCTTTTGTATATGAATAAACATATTGCGGACAGTACATCACGACGATTAACAAAGGACAAAACAAAACATGCCATGGTAAGAAATCGTTGTTCTGTACGAGCTAATAGAATTTCGGATTCTACCCAGGTGTTTGCTAGTATGTGTTCCTAGCACCTGTTGGAATGGCAACAATTATAAAATAAACAGGACTGTACAACATATAAGGGTTAGGAGTCGGTTGGGTTGCAGTTTGACCTCTTCTGTTGTAATCTTCTTTATAGTTCTCAGTTGGGTATAAGTTGTATCGGGATATATGATCTTCATTATAGTCAGCATAGTTCATGTAGTTGATGCATATCGAGGATTTTGTTGCAATTTGTCCACTTCAGTTGTATTCTTCCTCCACCATTTATACTGGCTGCGATGTATAGACTACATTGTGCTAAACAAAATGGCATTAAATCATACAACAACAACCTACCGTTGGTCTAGTGGTTAGAACGTCTACCTCGGATGCGGGAGGTTACGGGTTCGAACCCCGGCCGATCTATACGAAGGTTTTAAAACAATGATACTAGCAGCTGCCTCACTTGGCGCTCAGCATTTCGAGGTTAGAGTAAGGACTGGTCGGTCTAGTATCATGATAATGTGACTGATGGGATAGAATGCTACATGTCTGCGGCATGTGCAGTGCTATAGACCTCTCTAAAAAATGTCACACGGCAGACATTGTAGAGATATTGCTGAATTATTTTAAAGCTACCTTAAAAAGGTCTTACACACACACACGCACGCACACGCCTCCTAGTTGACCAGATGTACCAGTGTGGTTCCAGCTTGTGATTGGTGTTAGATTTACTTTGATCTGTGTAGATATCAAAGGAGCTGGACAAAGTTCAAGTACAGAACACTTCTCTCTAGGAATTCCGAAACCTAAAAAGAAAAGGAATCTAACCGGATACTCCGCCATATAACACTGAAATCATGCTGATTAAATCAATAAGACTCCAAAAAGTCACACACCTGCTGCTAAACTCCTATTGCTTTTAAATAAAGAAAGCTTTTTATTTCCCGTATTATTCGCTTACATTTAATACTGTCGTTTATTTATATATATATATATATATATATATATATATATATATATATATATATATATATATATATATATATATATATATATATATATATATATATATATATATATATATATGTATGTGTGTGTGCACAACAGATAATCATGAGAAACTGCATAACAATCAATGATTATATATATATATATATATATATATATATATATATATATATATATATATATATATATAGAGAGAGAGAGAGAGAGAGAGAGAGAGAGAGAGAGAGAGAGAGAGAGAGAGAGAGAGAGAGAGAGAGAGAGAGAGAGAGAGAGAGAGCACCAAACAGAATGAAAGTGCTAAATATATCATCCACCGTATCACTCAGGTTCATGAGTAATGATTCACCTGACTTGATAAATTTACGAGTATCTTCATTTCTTCTATGTACAAACACATAGGTCAAGCTGACCCGTCATTACAAAAACTATAAGGCATTGGAGGTGACAAAAGTAGGCCCAATGAGAAAATAGAAGTTAAAATGTCACGTTTCAAATATCGAGAATTTCACATGTTGAATCAATCAATTGGTGTTGAAAGTTTTATTCCATATGTATTTTTCTTCTTCTTCAGTTTTCTTCTGTCATCTACAGATATGATGTTAAAGAGGTCTTTATTCTTTTTTGTCCAATAAAATGAAGCTAAGGCAAAATTTATATGCATACTAGTATTAATGATAGTCTTATATATATATATATATATATATATATATATATATATATATATATATATATATATATATATATATATATATATATATATATATATATATATATATATATATATTGTAAGAGTTAAACACACTTAAACTGAAAGAGGCGATCGGAAGCTGAACAACGGCAAATTGATGGGAAAAGAACTGGCTGACATTCGCAACTTTAAGGTTAATCATACGGATCATGCCTCAAATGTCATTTGAAAGTTGCCATTCTGATTACTTCGGCTGTATACGAAAAAGGAGTTGGCCAAAATGTTACAAATTATCTTTTTGTTTTCATTCTTTACCTCTCGGTCAATGTCAATTTAATCACAGAAATAGCCGAGGTGATAAAAATAGATAGGTATTCTTTTCTTTAGAGAAAGTCCCGGCTAATGAAAAGTATGGTTTTTCTGTAAATTACTGCTCCGACATATATCCGAGGCATAATTTTATTTCGCAGAAATAACCGATGTAGCTCCCAATGGCCTAGGAAAATCTAAAACGGTTTGGGAAGAGGGTGTGGGTTACCCAAGAAAGATATTTGTCGCTCAAGGCAAACTCTAGTACTAATATTAGTACATTAGTCCTACACTGTGGACACAACAAAACAAGTTGAGGCTACGACATAGTAGCCAGGCAGACTCTTGTGCACTGTTGCACAATTCTGAAGCACTGATTCGTTGGTTAAAGTTTTATTACAGCCTTTCAATACTAATAATGTATTGCATTCAGGAAGACATACCTCAACACCATGCAATATGTTTATGATGCATATAATCCTTGAGAAACTGGACTAAACACAATAGTGACCCGGTCTGCATAAAGAGACCATAATCAACAAAATGGCCTCATCGGTGTGACCTTTACCTTAATACCCAAACATGGAGCTAGCATATTGGTGTATTGATTGCTGCTGTTGTTGTTGTTGTTGTTGTTTTGAGGCTTAACGCCATTTTTCAGCACACGACAGGCATTACATGGCGGCCAGTATTAATGATGGAGGAAGAAACCGGGAAATCGGCGGAAAGAACCACCGACCCACGAAAAGCTTCCAGCAAGCTTTCTCACATATCCACATTCGCCGAATCTTAGACTCGAACCCACGCAGACAGAGGTGAGATGGCAGTAATCCGTAATGGAGAGCGCTTCAGACCACTCGGCCACTAGAAGCCCCAGTATTAATTGCCTTACCTTGATAACAATTCATCCCATATACCAACAAAAACCATGAAAATATTTTGGAAAGATACGCGAATGAAAATAATTTGTAATTAATAATGTTCGATAGGACTCAAACATCAAAGATGAAGAGAGTGCATGTCTTAGCTTCATAATGATTTTTCCCCATAATGGACTGAAGGAAAATCATTTATTGGTTCAGGAATGATAAACAAGAATGAAAAACTTTAATCGCACCTTCACGAAATTTTCTTTGACTGGCAAAGGCCAAAGGGCAAATATGCATGTCAACAAATGACATGTCTTAACTGAGTCATTCCAAGTACGAGCAAAGGAGTTTATGACATAAAAGCAAATAAAATCACCATAGCGGTGAGCAAGCACGTTGTAAAATCATTTGTCTTAGATCGATAATGACTAATACCAAGACTGATGAGAATCAATTAAGAAATTTGGGAAATATTAGCAAATTGAAAAAAAAATATGTGAACTGGAACCCAAGGTAAAAAAAGTGCTACGGAAAGAGCTTTCTTTGAGTCATGCCAAGTATGCAGGGAATATATACCGTATGTACTCGCTTATCAGATGATTCGTAGCATAACGAACCTACAGATCAGGTCAATGTTGTTTGTTTTACTGATTATTCCTAACAAAATGTGCTGACCCAGATCTGCCAGAGCATAACGAACCTACAAATCAGGTCAATGTTGTTTGCTTTACTGATTATTCCTAACAAAATGTGCTGACCCAGATCTGCCAGAGCATAACGAACCTACAGATCAGGTCAATGTTGTTTGTTTTACTGATTATTCCTAACAAAATGTGCTGACCCAGATCTGCCGGAGCATAACGAACCTACAGATCAGGTCAATGTTGTTTGTTTTACTGATTATTCCTAACAAAATATGCTGACCCAGATCTGCCGGAGCATAACGAACCTAAGATCAGGTCAATGTTGTTTGTTTTACTGATTATTCCTAACAAAATGTGCTGACCCAGATCTGCCGGAGCATAACGAACCTACAGATCAGGTCAATGTTGTTTGTTTTACTGATTATTCCTAACAAAATGTGCTGACCCAGATCTGCCGGAGCATAACGAACCTACAGATCAGGTCAATGTTGTTTGTTTTACTGATTATTCCTAACAAAATGTGCTGACCCAGATCTGCCAGAGCATAACGAACCTACAGATCAGGTCAATGTTGTTTGTTTTACTGATTATTCCTAACAAAATGTGCTGACCCAGATCTGCCAGAGCATAACGAACCTACAGATCAGGTCAATGTTGTTTGTTTTACTGATTATTGCTAACAAAATGTGCTGACCCAGATCTGCCAGAGCATAACGAACTTACAGATCAGGTCAATGTTGTTTGTTTTACTGATTATTCCTAACAAAATGTGCTGACCCAGATCTGCCGGAGAATAATGCGCTGGCAGATCTGGCTACGTGCAGGTTGCAGTTGGGCTCAACTTAAAAGTTAGTACAGAAGAGTAAATGATGAAAATCAACAAAGAAGTCCAGGAAATGTATTCAATTAAATATTTTTTAAAAAAAAATGAAAAATGTTAACTGTTGATAATGCAAATGCAGATGTCAGAAAAGACAGTTATGTCTAACTTCTCGCTAATATGGATTCGATAATAAATGTGGAGTGAAGTACTGGGGGTAAAAACAAGTTCACAGTGATCCTACTTTAATAGATATTAGTGGTGCTGACCTACATGTATCTACATACAAAGTTGTACTGCTCTCGGACTTGCAATGCGAGAGGAACTAACCTATACACACAAAAGAAAACAAACCAAAAGTTACCTCTCATTATAAGTATTTAAGGTATGACATTTCATAAATAAATAATAAATAAGTGAGATAAAGACAATAATGATCATTGGAGATCATGCTTGGGCAAGGGGGTTGGGAGAGTGGGCAAGGGGGTTGGGAGAGTGGCAGTCATTTCGCCCAATCATGGTTCAGTAAACCATTCCATGACAGCATTACAAAATATACCTAATGCATTCGACATATCACAGTATAAAAAAGGAATAAATACAGGAGTGAACATAAAACAAAGTTTTTCACACTTGTGATGGATTTTTCGACATAGATAATGTAACTGTCAACCAATCAGTTCATTTTAACAAAGTAAATCTTAAAACTCGTCATATGAAATATAACTTTCAACGCAAATTATTTAATTCAACGCGTGAAACTGACATTTTCGACATACAACATTGAAATGTCAAACACCGGTATGTAATTCAAAAGTAAAAATCTAATCTAAAATCTAGCACATGTGAAATTAAATTTTCAACCAGCCTTGTGCAATTCAACAAACAATATTAAAACGCAGAAATATGAAATGGAACTTTTAGCGCAAACGCTTTGATTTAACACGTGAACCTGGAATTCTAGACAATCAACATTGAAATTTTAACCACGCCGTAATATTCAACAGATAAAATACAAACATCGACAAGTTGCATAACTGGCAAGATAACTCTGAAATTTCAACACCAACACCTTAAACCATCATCT